TGAAAAAATAAATAAATTTTAAAAACTAGAAATAATAATTCTAGTAAGAAAACATTTGGACCATTAATTTTCATTGTTTTTAGATGGAACACCTACTTGCATTTATCTTTAAGTTAGATGCCTTATGCTTTCTAGACCATATATGTAGAAATGCGGTCTGGCCCACATGAATCAATTTTCCTTATGAGCATGTGGGGCAAAAATAAAAACAATTAATATATATATATATATATATATATATATTGAAAAGGAAAACGACGAAAGATGGAGGATAGAAATCAAGTCAAAGAAAAGGAGATGAATTGAGGGACGGTTCTTTGTTGGTAAGTTGTAAGGAGAATTTTGATCTTGGCCAGAATACAAAAAGGATCATTCTTCCAAGCCTATCTGCCCACACCCTGCCACCACAATGACACACACTTGTACTAGGAACCCTCAATAACAAAATTTGGGTACATGACATACACATGAGCGATGTTCACTTCTAGAGAGAGAGCATGGGCCTAGCCAACTTGGTCTAAAGAGAGAGAGAGAATGGGACAGAGATAACTTGATCTAGAAAGAGAGGAGACGGCATGGGCTTAGTCAACTTGGCCTAGAGAGGGAGAGAGCATGGGTCAAGCTAACATGGTCTAGAGAGAGAGCGGGAGGGAGGGGGGGGGAAGAGAGAGAGAGAATGGGCCAAGCCAAATTAGTCTAACCCTGGCTCAATCCGGCTCCAATAATTGTGGCCGTAGGAAACACGATTCATAGTGCACGTGCCTAGCTCTCATTTCTTTCACTACAATGTCCCACGTGTTCCCCTATGGGGCCAAAGGCCTTAGTTAAGGCGCACATGATGGTGTCAGAGATTTTAAGTTATAGTGAATATGGTCTCTTTTTTTTTTTTTTGACAAATTAAAATGGTCACTTTTTTAAGGCAATAATACCTAAGGTACATCTATATACATATATGCAAAAGAAATAGGTAGAGGCCCATAATGCCCTGGCCACATTGACTATCACATAGGAAGCTTCGTTTTTATGGAAGAGAATGGGTTCATTTTCTTCCTTTTCCTTGCAAGAAGTTAAGATGAGGTTCTCATGTGCTTTTTTTCTCAAGAAGTTAAGATGGAGGTTCTCATGTGCTTTTTTTCTCTAGTCCAACTGACCTACTGGCCATGCTTCATATCAGTGGTTCGGAATTAGTAGCGTTAGGCTGGCACTTTCAGTATGAAAAGCATCCTGAGTTTCGTTTTTTTTTTTTTTCTTTTTTTTAGTAGTTGTCTCAGATCCTACTTGGGAATCGCAAGTTAGACATGGGGAATTGGAACTGAAGTTCGGCTGAGTCGGAGTCTGATTCTGATTTTCCAAAATACCGCTTCATACTTTCGTTGGGATTTTGAGATTGAGATTTTGAAAGTTGGGATCAAAGTAGGTGTACATTAATCTTTTAAGAGGAAAGAGAAATGATCGTATAGAACTTTTCCCCATTTATGTGTGTAAGATCTTAAAGGATCACTATTAAATTTGGCACGGATCTATATAAAAGTTAAATCTCATACTCATGTGATAACTTTTTTGAGATCCGTGTCAATTTTAATGGTGATCCTTTGGGGTCTTATACACATGAATAGAAGAAAGTCCTATAGGATCATTATTCAAGAAAAAATGGCAAAAACATGCTTGAAACCATGTTTTGATTTTCAGATTGAGATTGAATTTTGGCTCAAATTAGGCCTAAGAAAAATCTCTTGGAGAAACTTTAAATAGAATGATGAGTGGGACTTGATAAAAGAGAATGAATTTGGACTATTTAAAATGCCACATCCACATGAGAGAGATTTCTATGGACCTTCCCCTTTGGAAGAGAGAGAGAGAGACTGTTATGGACTTTTCCTTAGGACAGTAGTCTCCTTCAAGGTCTATGATTGTCATTTTAATATTTAGGTTTGAATGTGTAAATTAATGAATTTCTACTACAAAGGAGTATTATAATCCATGGAGAATCTTTTGTTTTATGTTAAAGAAAAAAGCAATCTTAGTGTGGATCTCTACAACCATACTTTGGCAAGAGTGACATACTATATTTTGGAAAAAACAAACACTTAACTATTTACAATAGTAAACGCAATAATTAAAAGATATCTAAACGACATTAATACCCTTAATGACAAAATAACAATAGTCAAAAGAATTTTTGTCCAAAGAATTTTTACCATTGTGGACTATCCCCGTTAGGGAGCACTACATAAATGCGCATATACCCTAATATTGTTAGAGAACATAGACTTGAATCCGGTTTTGCTATGGTCCTGAGCCCATAAGAATTACTAAATATTGGGAATTGGGCAGATTTCATCAAATACTAGGCCGAATCCAAATAAAAAACTTATAAAATCTTGAGAACTGTCCAAAATCGATTGTTTCGTTCCCAACCCATCAACCTACTAAGGCTGAGTTACTTGAACGAGTCTAAGTTAGAGTTGAAAAACATCTTGGTTACTTGAACGAGTCTAAGTTAGAGTTGAAAAACATCTTAACATTGAAGATTTATAGAGACTCAAAATGACGTATTGCTGAAATGTGTGGGACTCTTTGCTATCTAGTTTGTTTGAGTAATTGGTATTAGCCTGTTTAAGCTCTTTGGATCATAATTATCGAGACTAGAATGGATCAGGTTGGAGGACCAACTGGTTTGATTGCGGACTAAAACCTTGGTTGGGTTGATCCAAAGTAAAAATTAAGTTTTTGAAAAAAAAAAAAAAAAGAAGGGAAGAAATAGAGAGAGAAAAAAGAGAAAGTAATTGCTCACGGGGAGTAAGTACTGTAAGAAGCTTGGTTCCATGAGAGGAGAAGAAATGCACAACCACTCTCTTGCTTTTGAGTTTTGACATTACATACGAGTCGATGGGGGTTAAAAGCATTGCTTCTTTTAGCAGCTCACATGCACTCTCGCGTATTTATTGGGGTTCCTCTCTCCTCTTCAAAAGCCGAAAGCAATGTATATTCAATTTCTTCGCATTTGCTCCTTCATATTGAGCTTTTGCCCTTTTCCTGTACCTTTTACAGTTTGCATGTAATGGACCGTGCAACAAGAATGACAACCATGTATATGTAGAGAGAGAGTAGAGAGAGAGAGCTCCGAGAAAAACATGAACTTGAAATGGAAGAAGAAGAGAGAGAGAGTAGTGTTGAAAAATCGAACCAGCTTAAAAAAACCGGCCAACGGCCGATTTTGAGCAACCGATAAACTGGCGGATTCAACTTGTCTACTGGGATATGTCTAGTTGAGAGCGAGAGGGAGAGCCATCAAAGGGAGATCATATTCAAAAGCTGGGGACACAGGGAAACTTTAGTGGAAGAGAGGGGGGGGTGAGAAAGTCAAAAGGGTTCACATGCGATGCATTGATGATCTCCATCTGCTGTTTTCCAAGACAGCTTTGCCTTAGGATTTTTCCTCCCCTCTGCGCAGTCTCAGACACATAACGCATTTAAGTAGAACGATAACGGCATCTAATACATCATCTCAATGATGTTCCCTCTCTCTCTCTCTCTATCTACAATTCTCTCTCTCTCTCTCTCTCTGCAGCTACCATAGTATAATTATTTCAAGAGCTCTCTCTATCTCTCTCTCTCTCTCTGCATCTTCCATAGTACAGCAAATTCAACAGTTTTTCCATCAAAATCTCCTAATTAATTTCGCTACTACCACACGTCTTCTCACATGTTTTATCAAAAGAAAAGACGACCTACTCACACTCTCTCCCTCCTCTCCACAGCTCCCCTAGCATAGTAAACTCAAGGCCAAAAGACTTTATGCTCCCAAGGGAGCAGTCTATGCATTTACTCTCTAGGTTAAGACCCAATCTAGTAGTACTCTTAGGATCCTGAATTTTGGAGATCTAACCTTCTTCCCAATGTGCTGATGTCAATGAATTTTTTTTCAAATCGTATACTCTATAGACTTCCAAAATAATGCCTCAAGATTAATTAGAAACAGTCTCATTTTTTTGAAGCATGTGATCTAAGTTTTAGAAAATTAAAAACTAAATTTTTTCTTTTGAACATAATCATCTCTAGTGATTATTAAGGGGGTTCCTAAATTTTAGATAAAAAATTTTAGTACACCAAATTCAAGAGCCCTCTCTCTACATGCTCCAGCTATACTCATGTCTTCTCACATAATTCACCAAAAAAAAAGAGGGTCTTCTCATTCTAAGGCTTAATTTTTTCTCTCTAATCCCTCTCCCCCAACCAAAAATAAGCACTCTTTCTGTCTCTCTCCAGCTTTCCACAGTTCAGTAAAATCTAAGTCTTTTCGTCAAAATTAGTCAATCCCTGATTTCCATTAATATCATATTTTACACATTTCTTACATAATTCACCAAAAGAAAAGAGGGTATTCTCACTCTCAGGCGTAAGTTTTCTCAATCTAAGACCTCTCTCTCTCTCTCTCTCTGCAAAAGAAAAGAGGGTCTTCTCACTCTTAGGCATAAGTTTCTCGCTCGAATGCATCTCTCTCCAACATCCATGGTAAATTCAATGGTTGTTACATCAAAATTAGCCAACACCTTAATCTCCATAGAAAAATCACAATTAATTTAACTATTGGATGTGAAATTTGGTGATGACATTTATTCCATTAACCAAACCCAAATTTCAAAGCATTTTTTCTCAAACTTTACGACACAAACAAGATACGGATCTTGGAATCCCTTGGTTATAAATAATTCCGAGACGACTTCCTTATACCAAAAGTAAATGATATATTTAATAAATGATTTCTTTGTATATTATCTTTTTAGACATACCTATAATGTACCAAAATAAAAACAGTTTCTCACTTAAAGCTTGCGTTTCTTTCACTCTAGGGCCTAAGCACTCAAAACCCTAGATCATAAAAAAAAGAGCAATGCCACTACCACATCCCAAGCTTCAAAGATTGCAAATAATGGGAAAAATTTCAATACATCCAAATTCTAAAGAGAAATGGAATTGAAAACCTGAAAAACCAAAACTCTCAAAAGGTTAAGTGCATTGTATCATCCAAAATCTGAAATAACACATCTATATATAAAAATACTATAGATGTCTGTATTATACAACTTGGAAAAGGGATGGTTTTAACATCCACTCCCTTCGGTTTTCCCGAGAATAGATTTGATCAGTTCAAGGCATTATGCATCCTCTGCATGCATAATTACTCCACAAGTCTAAGTTAGAGAGGGAAACAGTAGGGAGAGAAAGAGCGAGAAAAAGAGAGAGAGTGAGAGAGAGTAGAGAGGGATGAGAATTCAAAACACAAGTGTGCTGGTGTCGTCAAGTGACATATCCATCAAATCCTGGCCGTCCATGAGCCACTTCTCGATCAAGATGAGAGGGCCTTGGCCCTCCGATTTGGGCTTGCTCTCCTCTTGGAAAGTTTGAAAGCTTGTTGAGTTCTCAGGCATGTAATTTGCAGTGTTCTCATCAAAAGAGACCCCCTGAGACACATCAGGAGTTGATGATTCAGGAGAGCAATCTTTCCAAGAAGCCATGGCTTTTCCCCCCTCAAAACCAAGCAGCCTTTCAAGAGCTTCTTGTGAGATGATCTCACTGTTGTTGTTGTTGTTGTTGATTGGGGTGCTGCAAACTAGGGAGAGAGAGCTCTGTATTCTCTCACTAGAACTTGAACAGTTGTTATTCAAGCCAGTGAGTTCACTTTGCGCAGTGGGTTTCTCTTTTTGAAGCATGGGAGAAGACCTCATCCACCCCTCCAAAAGCCTTGAGATGTTCTCTGTGCTTGAAGCATAGGTTGAGGCCTGGCTTGATCTGATACTCAGGTGAGAGGATGAAGAAGAGGAGGGAGAAGAAGAAGAGGAGGGAGAAGAAGAAAACAAGGGATGGGTTTCTTCAATGGGGCATTTAGAGTGAGAAAAACTGGGTTTCTCCATTGATAGAGCTTCACATAAGGCCTGTTTGGCTGTGTTGATATCAGTCTGAAGCCTCCTTTCCCATTGTCCTTTGGAGATCGGTTGCTGAAAATTTGTAATCCCGTTTGGGAAATCACCATCAAGGCCAGCTTGGAGCTTCTTGAGCTTCTTCTTGAGGTGGGTATTCCAGTAATTCTTGATGTCATTGTCTGTCCTTTGTGGGAGGTAGGAGGCTATGGCTGCCCATCTGCCAAAAAGAGAGACTCAAAATCAAACATTTTCTCTCTACAAATATTCTCCTACAGGGAAGCTGAAGTTGGTTCAGGGTCTGGGGTAGCAAGACAATTTCAATTCATATCCTAAGGAAAGGCCCAAAACTATCTTTCTTGGGTCTTAAACAATTTCCCTCCCTATAGAGAAAAATTACCTTTCATAGGTCAATGCAAATTTCTCTCTCTAGGTCTATGTCTTTGATCACAAAGAAATTCAAACAATATCCTCATGGAACTATGCTAAAACTATCTTCCTTGGTCCAAAAACAAATTTTCCCTCTATAGAACAAGATTAGGGTTCATGGGACAGGAGAAACACCCTCCCTCTCTCTCTAAACTCTCTTTCTCTCTCTACAAACACACACTGTCTCTCTATGTTAATTACTTGATTCTACTTGGAACGTGATTAGGTATCATGGATCATTACAATCTCTCTCTCTCTAAACTGTTTGTCTACAAACACACACGCACACACTCTCTCTCTATATATATATATATATTAATTCTCTTAACCAGTGAAGAATGGTGTACCTGTTCCCAAGTAGAGCTTGGAGATGAATTATGATCTTCTCCTCATGCTCAGTAAAGTTGCCCCTCTTAATACCAGGTCTAAGATAATTTGTCCACCTCAGCCTGCAACTTTTACTGCACCTCAGTAAACCTGGTAGAGAGATAAAGATAATGAATCATAAACTCATAAAAGCAAAACAGTTGGATCTCTTCTTCTAAAGGCAAAACAAGATCTCCAACCCAAATCTCAGCTTCCTCCAAAAACCCTAACAATCACCTATCCTCTCTCTATAAGTTAAGCGAACACACTTCCTCAACCACCCATTCTCTCTCTACAACTTAAATGAACATACTTCCTCAAAAAACCCTAGCAATCCCCATTATCTCTCTAGAAAGCAGATGGTCTTGGGTCTTTTTATTTCTTTACCTGTATTAGTGGGAACAGCCCTCCAATTTCCAGGTCCATGTTCTTGGATATAAGAAACCAGTATGATGTCTTCCTCTGGAGTCCATGGCCCTTTCTTTACTCCAATCTTGTCACAACAAGGTGGTCTTCCCATCTCTCTCTCTCTCTCTCTCTCTCTAGAATTGGCTGCTATTCCTGCCTCTCACTCACTCTAGAATCGCCTGCAAGTCCTGCCTCCACACACTGTCTCTCTCTCTCTCTCTCTCTCTAAGCATCTAGTTTCTCACCACTCTTGCTTGTTGAAAGACGGTCGTCTAAGACAGGCGGTATGCGTGTATATATACAGAGACCTAGAGAGAGAAAGCTGCTCCACCAATCATGTCTCAACGCTGACTCACACCGAACGGGGTGGAGCGAGAGTCAAAATTGGACAGCAAAGGCATTAAATAGAGGGTTTGCAAAAGTCAGCCGGTGAATCCTCCTGCCTTGCATTACCGCGTCGTGCATTCAATGTGGAGCACGGGGAAACCCAACAAAACCATCCCCCTCTCTCCCTCTCTCTCTCTCTCTCTCTCATCAGAGATTCATAAACCCTGCCTAAGAAAATGAACACTACTCTCTCTCTCTCTCTCTAAACAATATACAGTGGACTCTTTCTCACACACACATCAAACGTTTCAAAATTCTTACCAAAAATATGAACAGTGTATTCTTCTCTCTCTCTAGTCTAGGGTATAACCTGCATAGTGTTTTTACCTAAATTTTGCATGAGACAGCTGGGAGGGGTTTGTTCGAGACAACCCATGATTCCATTTACGTTAAAGTTGAACATCTCATCTTCAATTTATCCCATGAATTAAATTCTCTCTCTCTCTCTCTCTCTCTCTCTCACATAGTCACAAGAGAATTAGACCTCTTTCTCTCAATTAGACACTCAAATTCATGAGAAAATTAGACCTACTTCTCTCAAATACACACTCTCTCTCTCTCTATCCGTATCGCCTTGTCGAATGCTATTTTACACAGCAGTAGTCTTATTTGTTGATTGTGCTCGATATAACGGCTCATACTCATCCTGGACTATATGCTTAGTGACATACAGTGATACGCACAAGAAACAACTTACTATTCAAAGTATGCTATCATTTTCTTTCTTGAGCTTCTTGTCTCTCCTGCAAAGATGCCAAAAGAATTTATTTTCTCTCTGTCTATTATTACACACTACGAGAGTGAGACGAGTCCACGAGCCAATTAAATCAACACTAGCCTTGGAGAGTAGGAAGGGCAGTTTGGTCTTTCTTCCCAGTGCCAAAATTGGCATTTAAAGTGTTGGGAGATTTGGATTTTTTACAATTTAATGTTCCGACTTATTCTTGACGCTTCAAATGGGACCGGCAATGGGCCGGGCGGCTGCCTGGTCCGGTGTGCTCAGCCCTAAAAAAAGTATGGCCTGGGTACCTGAGGACCGGGCTAGGGCTAGGGCTAGGGCCAGGGCTAGCGCCAGCCAACCCCTCTTTTTTCTTATTATCTGTTCGCCCAGCCCAGCCCAGCCCAGCCCAGGCCGGCCACCACAGCCCTAACAGGCTAGGGCAAACCCAAGGGCCAAGCCATCTGCGAGGCCCATTGCGACCCTTACCTTAAATCTTTTTAAAAAAATAATATTGATATCCAAATAAGAGATGAATTATTTAATATTATTTATTCAATTTTAGATAGGTGAAAAAAAATAAAGTATTAAATATAATTTGTCGGTGGAGTTTTTATTTTAGGTAATTCCTTGCCCTTTTAAGACCCATAATCTTAAGTTTTAAAACTATTTTAAGATTAAGTAATTTTAACCCCTAATATTATTTACTAAAAATGGGTCCAAAAGCGTCATAATCAGAGGTTGTTAAATAAGAGCTGATAGTTGGCAAGATGCATATCAGCTTTGAGCATGGTATGTGGCAAACGATGGTGGTTTGGACGGTCGACAACGGCTTTTGTACGTGTCCCCATTTAATTTAGTTCTCTGGTCCTCACGAGTTTAGAGAGAGAGGGATTTAAGTTTATCAGAGAGAGATAAGAGATTACATGGAGAGAGATTTATTTTATTGACAGAGAAAATGAAGACAGATATTCATTGTGCGTGAGATCTTGGAACTTATCAGAGAATATTGCATTGATATTTTATATTTCCCCTCCAACCTCAATGCTATAGAGAGTACGCATGGAGAGAGAGAGAGAGAGAGAGAGAGAGAGAAGT